GAACTATCTTCAGCGTAAAGAAAAACAAGGAGTCCTGGAAGTGATGGTTTGGCCCCCACAGAGCCCCGATCTTAACATGGCTTCCCAGCCAATCAGAATGCCGGGCGCTGCGTCATTACACGGCGCCCGGCTTCCTGATTGGCCAGCTTCCCGACTAATCAGGAAGCTGGGCAGCGCGTCATTACACATCACAAGTGACGAGAGAGCATGGAGCCGCTTCCTGGCCAATCAGGAAACCTGGCAGCGTGTAATGACGCTCTGCCTGGCTTCCTGATACCGAAGTATCGGGCTAGGTATCGGAGCATTTGGGCGAGTATGAGTACTCGCCCAAATGCTCGGTATCGGCACCGATATCGATACTAGTATCGGTGCATCCCTACTGTCTGGGATTACATGAAGAGACTGAAGGATTAGAGGCAGCCTACATCCACAGAAGATCAGTGCTTAGTTCTCCAAGATGTTTGGAACAACCTACCTGACGAGTCCATTCCAAAACTGTGTACAAGTGTACCTAGAAGAATTGATGCTGTTTTGAAGGCAAAGGGTGGTCACCCCAAATATTGATTTGGATTTCTCTTAATTTACTTTCCACTTTGTTAATTGATAAAAAAAATAAACTATTAACACTTTTATTTCTGAAAGCATTCATACTTTACAGCATTCTTTTACACCTGCCTAAAACTTTTTACCTACAGTACTGTATATGGGAGATGTTTGCCGACTAAATTTGTATTTCTGTCCATCCATTTCTGAGATGCACACACCTTTGCCACACAACCCTGTATGGCAAAGCTGAAGACCTGATTTTTCTCTGCTGAAGCTAAGTACCAACCTGTAACTGAAGAGAGAAAGATTGCAGAATGGTGAGCTCAACTCTCTTTCACCCCTCTCTCACCTTCTATAAGCATGTTCCATGTTGGCACATGAGTACAGCAGAAATTCTTATTGGCTCCTACTGCTGCCCCTCCCTCCCCCAGTCTGAGCTCTGTTGTACAGGGGCTAAGTCAAATAAAGGATGAACACATGACTTGCATTTAACAAAATAAATGTAATGCATTGATGAATACAGAACTACATTAGCCTGTGTTTTTTTAATATGCCTTGATAGCACCGTTAAAGTGGTGAACTCCACTTTTAAGTTTGCCGTTATTTTTGCTAATACATTCAACATTCCCAAAAGAGCTGTATTTCATTATCAGTACCCTCAATTAAAATAAAAGCTGTTTGAGCTTTTCAGTTCAGACCTAATATCAGTGTCCCCAGTACAAATACACATTGACATTTAGCGTCCCAGAACAATGTGATAGTTATATTTAGACTCACCTCTTAAAAGTTTTAGATTGCTGAGCTGCTGTATGACTATTACATAATAATTGCTTGGCATCATTAATGAACAATGTGCAAGGCAGCAGATTCTTTTAATACATGTGTTACCTTGTTGCTTTATGGACAGTCAGCACACCATCTTTTCTTTCCCCAGCATCACAGACAATTTTAAACATGGACTGATAAATATCAGCACTCCAGAAGAGGAAGAAATGTGTAAGACACACATCAGATATAGAAACATGAGGTGATAAGGTGAAAACAGAAGAACATGACATGAGCAAATGATCCACAGAGAGCAGGGAGGATAGCAGGTGAAAACATGCAATAGAAAGAGAGCGAGAGAGTTAAACAAAGAACTGTAATGTAAGCAATTCTCTACATTTCCTGATGGGGAGAATGAGCCTCTGGGGATGCCTCTGATACTTTGCTCAGGCTCCAAGTATATTCATAGCCTGGAAAAATAGTCAGGCCCAGAACGGTGACATTCACACACACAAAGACATGCACAGTACATATACTGTGTATATATATACTGTATATATATATATATAAATATATAATCCAAGCTTTAGGGCACAGCTGGCCCTGATTATTCTTATCACTGGCAGGAGAGATGATAAATTCTTGCAGGATGGCTACCTTCTTTGACAGGCCTTAAATTGGTTCTAATCTCAGCTGTGATCAGGAGCAGCCTGCATTAGTTAGTGTCGTGTGGCATGCTCCAGACCTGAAATTGTTAGCTTTGCGCAGACCTTATGGACTTGTGTCTGCTAGAATGAAGAGGGTGCTATCAGTGGAAAAAAAGGGGTCACAGAGTACTAGAAGAGTCAGTTAGAACTACGACAAAAGGGCAAAAGTGGGGCTCTCCTTGTTCTTCTGCTATTATTGGATTGTTCCTCATAGTTAAAGGAGCTGTAAAGTCCCAGCATGTGTTATAACATCAGCTAGGAATACATACTAGAGTTGTTTTTGATAATGCAATCAATGCTTGCTTAAAAATATCCTTTTATGTAGTGAGTGCTGCCTTTTGTCTGCCCATCACCTTCAACAATCTCCTGAATTCCCAGTGTGCTTTACATCTCTTTCCGTGCCACTTGATGTGATGCGTTCTCCATTTCTTCAGACTACATATCCAATCATGCATTACCTTCAGCAAGCAATGAGTATGTTACATTGTTCAGACGTTGAGTTGTCATTCAGAAGGCAGGCTCTGTGAGAGCAGTAACAGAAAAAAAATGTTATACTCACAAGGCTGAGTGAAATTGTGTCAGTGCATTGAGGAAGAACATCTTATGGACTTCTATAATGCATACGTTTACAAACTTCTAGATGGATATGGTTATTAGGAATGGGATAGAAATTATGGAACGTCACCATAGAAATACATATTTATTTTTTGGTTTTTGACCATACATACCCTTTCAGCACAACATCTTGCGGTGTAAATTGTTAAGTTCTGTCTTCCAGTCAAAGTTTATATAGGCCCTGTATAGTGACTGTATAGAGCTTACAGAGCATTGTAGGGTGCTAAGATTTTATAGTGCATGCTAGCTTTCTGGGAGCTGTCTAAGACTAAGGGGTCTATTCACTAAGCTGCCAAAGGATCTAGCCATAGCTTCGGCTGATCCTTCGGCTAGCTTCGGGCCCAGGACCCCTTCGGTTCAGTAGAACCGAAGGGCTGGTGTACGGGCTATTCATTATAGCCCTACAGCTCCCGAAGTTGGCCGAGCGGCTCAGTCGACTGAGCCGAGGGGAAAGTCGAAGCTGGCCGAACAACCTGCTTCTGACAGCTGGGTCATCTCACGGCTGGCTTCGGCCACTTGCAGAGAGATCAGCATCACTGGCTACCAGGTAACCAGGGATGCCATCTGTCATTACTCTCACAGACGCTCTAGGAGTCTAATACGGCTCCCGGCAGCCCTGGAGAGAAACACTTTCTCCCAGAAAGGTTTACTGTGCTCGATCGAGCACCTTTGGCCAACCCGAAGGTTTACTCTGCTCGATGCTGAGCAAGTTTGGCCGACCCAAAGCCAGCCGCAGCAAGCCGATGTACGGCTGATTTTAGTCGGTGTACACCTAAAATCAGCCGTACAAGCCTGAAGTGAATAGCCGAACAGCGATACCGAAAGTCCCTTTAAGGAAGCCAGGCTGCGTGTAATGACTAGCCACCTGATTTCCCAATTATCAGGGAAGCATGGTGCCGGCTTTCTGACCAGGAAGCCAGGGGGCGGGTAATGACTTGCCGCCTGGCTTCCTAATTGGCCAGCTAGAGGTTTGAAAAAACTTGATATATAAAAACACCAGATGCCACCCAGCTCTTAATTCTCAGGGCCGAGCAGAAGTTATCTCTAAATATGTACTGGCTTAAATGTAAAGACTTACTTAGTGACCTGGGCTGTAATGTAATTTTTTTGTATCCCATGCCTTTTACTTTCTTTTAATAATAGGATCTCCAGCAAAAGTTGATGATGTTTTGTTTTTAAAAAACTTGAAAAGAGAAAGAACCTCTGTTGGGTATTCATTGATGTCCACTTTTCTCTTGGGGAAATCTCCTCTCACAAGAGTCTTGGTGACAGAACAAGAAATTAGAGGAAATCTCCCAAAAAGGATATTTGTCACTGGGATATTTCCCCTCACCTTCAGTTATGACAAATTACGTTTCTGTCAATGTCAACTTGACATGAAGTGAGGGAGCTCCTTTCTAGTGAAGACACATACAAAAAACCTAATGAACCCACCTCCACTCTCTTCAAAAAAATTAAAATAATTTTTGTTTTCCATTTTAAACTTCTAGTCAGTGATTTATGTGTGCTCACTGTATGTTTCTATTGATCTTATGCGTAAATCCACATCAAGCCAGTAATTGTCAATCAGAAATTGTGTCCTAAACTAAGCTTATCAAACTGTCTAGGGATGCACCGATACCGATACAAGCATCGATATCGGCGGTAATACCGAGTATTTGCATGAGTACTCGTACAAATACTCCGATACAAAAAACTAGTACCTGTGCCGCGTCCGCCATCTTCAGGGACCCGAAACCGTCGCACACAGGACCTCTATCGCGTCGTCAATGAAACAAGATGGCTGCGAACTCCTCCTCCAAGTCCTCAGTCATCTGCTCCATTCTGACCTCTTCTCCCGCTGATTGGCCGATTGGATGATGGCAGGCTTCCTCACCAGTCAGGAATATTGAGTCTGGACATGTGCTCATCTATTTTCCCCACTATGGGGATACAAGCCTTAATATGAAGAAACTGACCTAAAATCATTATTTTGTATTGCTTTAGAAAAAATGTGACCTGCCCCTTTAAGAAAAAGTATCGGTAATTGGTATCGGTGAGTACTTGAAAAAAAGTATCGGTACTCGTACTCGGTCTTTAAAAAGTGGTATCGGTGCATCCCTAATACTGTCCATAACTCCTTTATAGCTTGTTACTTTCTACAATAGCATTAATGGAAACGAGATGCTTGTTTTTATATGTTTGAAATGTAAACGCAATTGTATAATGTCACAGGAAAAGTGGTTTTGTAGTCAATGGCACTTGACTACTCATTTGTAAATCAGCACCCTGTGGCTAAGCAGAATCATTTAATTATGAGGATATTAACGTATAACTGATCACATTCATATATTGACATATATAACTCTGAATATTCTTTCTTCCTAGATGCTGACGAGAATGTAAAGCCTCTGCATATCCAGAGACATCAACATGGCCTTGTGCAATGTGGACTGGCCCAGTCTGTGGCCCTCCCTTGCCTTTTTGTCGTACGCCCCTCCCAAACCCCACAGGCTTTCAATGTTACCTCAGAATCACCACGCATTAAATGGAGCAAACTTCAGCCCGATAAAGGACAGAAGGAAATAGCTGTCTTGGTGGCCCGTGAGAATGTGGTAAAAGTCGCTCGTGGTTACGAGGGAAGAGTATCTCTGCCTGCATACCCCCACAACCGCTACAATGCCACACTGGTTTTGTCCAATGCTCGTGCCAGTGACTCAGGGATGTACCGCTGTGAGATTGTTTTGGGCATTGAAGATGAGCAAGACGCTGTGCCACTGGAAGTCACTGGTAGGTGTCATCTTGATCTATTAAGACTGTACAATACACTGAGGTAATAGCTGGAGATGTTGTTGTGCAAGTGCCAGTAGGCCACTAGTGATGTGGTACACTGAGTGCTTCATATCTCAAAGTAAAATGTCTATGTAGCCTATGGGAAACAATCAGATTTGATAGCCTGATGTACACAAAACTTCACAAAAGGTCCTTGTGACTTTTCATATTGTACAATTCTTTTCCACATATCCATTGGGTGGCATTCTCGAATTACTTCACTAATCATTTTTTTCCCTCCAAATTAGATTTATCAACAAATATTTTCTCATCTTATTTTGCAAGCTTATAACATGTAAATTGGTTATGCAAATATTTTTCAGAATCATTATTTTTTTTAGTTTTCCGACAATAGGGAAGAGTATTTTGCTTTAAAAATTAGCATCTCGGGTTTCACCTTGACGAGGAAGGTGAAGAGTCCCATCTGTGTGTAAATATGGAAGTATTTCAAGACGTATATTTAGATAACATTTCTACAATATCATCATTTGAAAAGACGTCTTTGATAGGGCGGCTGATGCCAGGCTCTGAGTGTTTAGGGAACCTAGAATTGCAGATGAGATTTTACAAGGCTTCTTACCTATATATTCTTTGTAGTGAAAGCTTCTTTTTAAACCTTCCTTTGATGTCTTGAGATCCCTTTTTACAGTGAGACACATCATGCTTCACTGCCAGACTGATGCTTGCTCAGAGACGGTATAAAATGGGGGTGTAATGAATTCTGTCCTTCTCATGTCTCAGAGAAGCAGACATTTCACATCGGTACCTTGGAGGCTGTCTTAGGGTTTTGTCCTTACGGATTCAGAGATGTGGAGTCTGATTTACTTCTCGTTACACTGACCTCAGCAGGGCTGATCCTTGGGGTTCTTTCTTGCGGGAGAGCTCTGGCAGCCCTGGAAGTGACATCTGCTCTCGTCATCATGTGTCATTTTGGAATGTATTAAATGTCATATTTTTACTGATGAAATAGGCTTTAGCGAGTGAACCACCATATGTTATTTTTTTGTTAGCATATAAAAAAGAAAGCATATGAATGCATGACTGCATTCAGCACACACCTTTCTATTTCATATATGTGTTAAATACGAAGCCTAGACTATGATTTAGAGACACGTGATTGCAGTGGTCCTCTCATTCCTGTCTGCATCCTTGTTCATTATATTTAAAAGTATGTCGTCTTTATTTATTTAGGTCAACACTGATAGAAAATACATTTTAAAAATCCAACTTTTATTTAGCCAGGTAAATACCAAATTTTGCATATTAATAATTTAAAATTTTTCTTTTGAGCCAGCAGGTGGAACTATAGGCTCCTTTTAACTTTTCCAAGGCTCTTACTTTTTGTCTAAAGCCAGTTGTCTACACTCAGAAGTAGATGGCTCTTCAGCAGTGATGCATTCCTTACTGGACTGCTCAGAATAACGTTCACTAAGACAAAATGAGACTAAGGGGTCTATTCACAAAGCTGCCGAAGGATCTGGCCGTAGCTTCGGCCGATCCTTCGGCTAGCTTCGGCACCAGGACCCCTTCGGTTCAGGAGAACCGAGGGGGTGCTGTACGGGCTATTCACAAAAGCCCGTACAGCCCGCGAAAGCAGCCGAACCATTAGCCGAACCCAACGACCGAGACATCAGCCGAGCATTCCGGCGAACACACCCGATCTTAGACGAGCAACCCGGCGAACCTAACCGATCCCAGCCGAGTATTCCGGCGAACACACCCGATCACGGCCGAGCGGCTCAGTCGAGCGCTGAGCCGTGCTGAAAGACGAAGCTGGCCGAGCGGCCGGCCATTGAGCTCTCTTAAGCTAGCCCAGAGTGCTCTGGGAGTCCTCTGTTGCGTATTAAATGTATATTTGTAAGACAGATTGTGTATATACATTGAGAAAAATAATTATTTGATTCCCTGCAGATTTTCTATGTTTGCCCACTTACAAAGAAATTAAAGGTCTGTATTTTTATCATAGGTGTATTTTAAATGATAGAGACAAGATATCAACCAAAAATCCAGAAAAAAGACATGACATTTGTATCATGTGTTTTTTTCTGGATTTTTTGGATGATATTCTGTCTCTATCATTTAAAATACACCAATGATTTAAAAAAATACAGACCTTTAATTTCTTTGTGAGTGGGCAAACTTACAAAATCTGCCGGGGATCAAATAATTATTTCCCTAAATGTATGCTGTAGTTTGGGTCTTGGAATTTACAACAATAAATTTGGATTTTATGAACACCGGTTTTGTGCGGCTGATTGCGGAAATATCAAATGTCTTTTATTGACGCATATTGTCACATTGATAGTGATATTTTGGTGCCATGCAGGATCCCCTTCATCAGGCCCAATATGAGGCCTAATGAAGGGGATCCTGCATTGCCCCAAAACGTTGCAATCAATGTGACAATATGTGCTGGTAACATCTTGCCTCTTCATAGATTTCAGTGGCACCGTTCACAGTCATTTCAGCACCCACCTTTAAGAGCAAATCCCACTGTCCCGCTTTCCTCCTCATTTGTCCTTCTTTTTGGTCTGATGTACAGATATCTATGAAAAGGTTCTATTTAACTACCAAGAGTGCTATTATATACTAAAACCTTTATCTTGTGTCTTATACAAGTATAATGGAAAAGTAATGGTAGAAAAAGACAATTCTGGGTTTAACCGGTCATTTTTGGCATATACATTCTTAATGGTTGTGGGGGTGTGGCAGAAGTGTGTCCATTGTCTAAATACATTGTGCTGGAAGTTTTCTCTCTTCTCCTTTCAGAAAGATGGGGGTTATATTAAAAGCTTTAGCTTTTAGTTTTCCTATAATGACCGGTCTAACTCATAATTATCATATATATCATATATATTAGGTTTATTACAGTGGGGTTTCTGAATTGAATGCAAAAAAAAGCTTGGATGTTTAGTTTCCTTTTATAACAGGGGTAGTGTTATACCATGAATGGGTCCTGTGGTCATACAGTTATGCAGAACTGAATTGTGTCAAACAGGTAAAACAGTAAATGAAGTGAAAATAATAGAGGTGTGTGTCTACATGCTGCTGGCACTAATTTAGGGCAGACTAAACCTTGTAGGGCTCTAGGGGCAACAAACAGGGAGGAAGAAGTAGGTAGTCAAGGCATGGCATAGGGAGTGTAGGTGGGGAATAAAATGATGAGAATAAGGGGTGGAGATAAATCATCAGGGGAAGGGAGGACGGTGGGAGGGAAGGTGGGGCAAGTAAGGGAGAGGCAAGAATGAAAGGGGGTAACAGAAAAAAGGTTGTGAAATAGAGAGAGAAAAAACAAAAAGAAGTGGAATGGGCAAAAGGTCCAATCTTTCCATGGGCAACAAAAACTTTTCTTAAAGTAGAACTTCGGCTAAACGTTTTATTCTGGTTGTTTATAGGCTAGGGAAGTATTTTTACTGCTGCTTGTGCCCATTTGGAAGTGATTTTTCTCACTTCCAACAGGGACACTGACAACTATGAAAAAAATACTCACAAACTTTTGCTCACTCTATCCAAAAAAACAAAAACAACTCAACATTTTTTAAATAAGTTTTAATTTTAGTTTTAAAAATGTTGCCAGCTTTTAACACTAGAACCTACACCATTTACCATTCACCACTCACGGTGTCTGTCTCAGCATATTGATTGCCTTATGTCACATGACTTCATTCCTCCTCCACCCACCCAATTTCATTAACATTCACATCCTATCTACAACTGTTTTATAAATTAATTACATCGTTATTCCCCCTGCCCCCAACTTCCTGCATCCGATCATCATTCGTTGCTCTAACAAATATTTTATTTCCAGATAAAGAACATGTGATTCTTCCATTGCTCCCAATCCTTTAGCTTCTCATTCATTGCCATGTACATTTAATGTCTCCCATCTCAGCCATTCTTCATGTTAGTCCGAGTCACTTTTGTTCTGCATTATCTTATCCCCCCTTGCTATAGCTCTTATTTACTAGAATTTCCACAAACAAGCACCCTTCCCTTTTCAGATATGGTTTCCCTGATATGATCAAACACAAAGAATTCCATTTAGAGGTTGTTATCCTGAAAGCAGCTGGAATTGCACATTTCTGAATCCTGGCTGTTCATGTCCACTTTCCCTTTTTTATTTCAAACCAGCATCCTCCCAGCCATCTGCTCTCATCACCTCTATATGTTTTTGGCCCCCTTCGCATTCCTTGTCCTGTTCTTTGTGTTGTCGCTGGTTCACTCACTCTTAAAATGTGCTGCTTTCACAGCTTGCTTACTCTAGTAATTAATAGCAATTATGTAAATCTGCAGAATTGCTCGAGACTGTTACATGCAGCGTTTGCAGTAGGTCATACAGGTTTATTTACACATGTGCTGTACGACACGATTGTTTTATTATTTAATTCCAGCCGTTTGTATGCTTGCTCATGCTTGCTTATTACAGCGTATGCTAATAGAGCATCTGGCTCTATTTTTGCCATCTTTAGTCCTATGCAGAACAAATGGACAAGCGCCATGCATTACCATCAGTGGTGTTAGTCATGGTTTACTGGGAAAAAACAGTTCATGCTGTTTGATGGTTCGTGCAGCTGTGGGCCTATGGCAATAAAGTGGCGCTGCAGATGACAAAAGCCCAGTGCTTCAGAAAATGTGCTGCCTTGATGCTTAAATCTAGCTCTAAATATACACATTGCTTTCTAAAAGAATAACAGTACAACATCTAATGACGCTCTTGTATTACTGCTCTGCATTCTAGCGCACTTGAAGATTTCTCCTTGGCATAACTCTATCATTTGAAGTATCCTTTTCTTTTTAATATCAGTTGCCACTTTCTTTAGGCTTCCCATCCTTTCAGAAACAAATAGCAGTCAGTCTTTTAACAACCTTCAAATGCCCAGGGCTGCTTAAAGCTCAACTCAAAGGCACAAATGAATGCCGCTCTGTATTCAATTGTACATCCTTAACTGTAGTTTCTG